AGATTTAAGCATATAAATCTAATCAATTTAATTTTAAAAAATAAAAATAAATTTTCATAATTTATCTATCTATTTTTTCTCTCTATGTCACCCCCTCTTCCAGAATAACTGTAATTTTAAACAAATACATACTCAAAAATCCAAACTTAATTAATTTATAAACTACTTAATTTTATTTTTAAAAAAACCAAAATAATAAACCTCAAAACCACAACTATACTAAACTAAGCCTAAAATAATTTAATTTAAAAAGAATCTAAATTATTAATTAAATAATAAAATTTAACTTATATAAAATTAAGTTTGAATTAGTTCTCATTACCTGAAAAAAAAAAAAATCAATGGGTGGTGCTATAAAAACAACCGTTTTATACCACTTTTTGATATAATTTTCACATATTATTAAATAAATTAATGCATTTAATATCATGGATCCTATATGAATTAAAAGAATCAATTATTTAAATGACATGTCAAGTTGTGCAAAAAAATAAAACAAAAAAATTATACAAAAATCATTTTCCAAAATCAATATATTAAGGGTAAGTTCCCTTATTAGTCCCAAACTAATAAACCTAGAGGATGACCTCAATATTAACAGAAATAATACTGTCACTTCTATTTTGTTGGCAAATCATATAATAGCTAATAGCCAAAAAATAATAAAATTAATGTACTCTGAATTAGCTATTACATAAGAAGCTCTCTTTCTGCAGGTAACTTTCTTTATTTCACCCACAATTCTTTAATTTCTTCACACTCAATTTTGTTATTGTCAGTTCTAGCAGCTTTTGTGTCCAGAACGGTGTCCGCAAACAAAAAGTCTTCCGTTAATATTTTCTCTTCGTCTTCGGAGTATTGCTCCTTTACTTCTTTGGTTAACATCCTTTTGGTGATCCTGCTATTTCTGAAGTTGTACTCACATTGTCGTCATCCTTACCATCAAAACACTATAAAAAAGAAAGGTGCATAGATATTGACTAATTGAAAATAAATTCTGAAATTGAAATAATATCTTCACGAATTTTCAGAAGTATGAAGCAGGTTATGAAATATGAAGCTGCAAAAAATCCTACAGGAAATCCTGTTGATGATAGAGAATGAAACAGTTTATAAAAAAAACCAATCATATGAGTTCTACCATATGATATATGGATGCTTTTCCACCATGACCGTAGATATTCTAATCCTAAATATTAACCACATCAACAACTTTCAAACACAGAAAACCCAAAACAACCTTAGAATTCAGTGATTCAAAGCAGGATTTAGGCTACTCATATAACATGCTAGAAAGTATGTTTATAAAGTAGACTTGCATTAGTTAATTCATCCCTTCTTATAGGGATATATCCCCTGTATGTAAACCGAAACAAAAATTGGTGGAATAGGAAGGGTG